GATGAGCCCGGCTGATCGGGCTGTTTGGTTGGTCGATTAGTTGATCCGCTGATCTGGCTGATCTGCTGATCCAGTTGAGTGGTTCAGTGATCAGATGATCCCGCGATCCAATAAGATTCAAAACCTCTAGTTGGTTCAGATGCATCTGGATCTTCCCCGCTGAGCTGATCGCCTCTAACGTAACTCTTGGTCTTCGGGCCCAAACTCGGCTCTCTGGCGGCCTTCAGGGTCGATTCGGCACTGCTGTAGTGGTCGGTTCGACTTGCAACAGGTGCAACAGTTGCAAGGTGATTGCAACCTACTTGCAAGGCACTTGCAATTGGATTGCAAGTCCGCTAAACTGCTCCAAGTCGTAAGTCACAGCGATCACTGCAGTGGGCCCGATAACGTCCAGAAGCATGGATTGTCGACCCTCTTCGACCCCGCTCCCCCTCCCGCTCCTCCTCGATCCTGGGTCCCTCTCCTCCCCTTCCTAACCCTCCACCCGTCCTCCCGAGGAGTGCGCCGCTGGGGTCCGGGAGGGCGCCAAGACGGGACTGGCATCCGTCGTCGCGGCCTCAGCTCCTCGCTCGCCGCCGCCGCCAGCGTCGCCGTCGCCGCTGCCGTCGTCGTGGTCGTGGTCATGGTCGTGGTCGTGGTCGTGGTCGTGGTCGTGAACGTGGTCGTGGTCGTGGTCGTGGTCGTGGTCGTGGTCGTTGTCATCGTGGTCGTGGTCGTCGTCGTGGTCGTGGTCGTGGTCGTGGTCGTGGTCGTGGTTGTGTCAGAGGTGTCAAAGTCATGGGTGGAAGGAAAAACACGATGTCCGCCTGGGCCCGCGTCAGAGGAGCGGAAATGCGAGCGCCATGGCGCGCGCGGTCGTACGCGACCCGCCGCTGGTAATAATGTGAATGCGCGGGCGTCGCGGCGACGACGACGGCGACGGCGACGACGACTGCGGCGTCTGCGCCGACGGTGATGACGACGGCGGCAACGGCGACGGCGTCGACGACGAACGTCGCTGCGACGGCTGCGACAGGTCCCGGGCCCACGGGCGAACTTGCGCCCCGCCCTCGTTCTTGGAGCCCCGCGCCAGACTTTATGGGAGGAGCGACAATTCTGCGCGCAGTTTTATCCCAGCCGCTTTTCCGCTTTACTAGAGTTTTCTTGTGGCTTTAGTAAAATGTCGTTCATCTTGTTTTCGGGATTTATTGAGCGGCGCGCCTTTACTAAAGCCGCTTCTTCGTTTTCCTTGCTTTGGTAAAGCCGCTTCGTCGCTTCAGTAAAGCCGTCTCTTCGCTTTAATCAAATACGCGGTCTGCCTTAGTAAAGCCCTGGGGATGCGGGGCCAGGGCCTGTTCGGGGGGCGGGGGGCCTCTGTCTTCCCTGCCAGTTCACCCCGCGATGCATTTGCTCGAGTAATCAGGGTCGCGGCGATCCTTGGATCTACTTTCAGCGGGTTGTAGATGCTTCTTGACAGGAGATTCAGGGCGCGAGAGCAGGAGGTGGCTCGGCAATTCGAACGCGCCGCCGCGGTTGTCGCGCAACAGAGCAACAACATTTTACTAAAATTATAGCTTTCTTTCGAATACAGCTCCTTCAAAGTAGTAAAGTGAATTTTCCGCTTTCAAGTGTGGTGGTCGTCGTCGTCGTCTTCGTCGTGGTCGTGGTCGTCGTCGTCGTCGTCGTCGTCGTCATCGTCATCGTCGTCGTCGTTGTCGTCGTCGTCGTCTTCGTCGTCGTCGTCCTCGTTTTCGTCGTCGTCCTCGTCCTCGTCGTCGTCATCGTCGCCGTCGTCGTCGTCGTCGTCGTCGTCGTCGTCGTCGTCGTCGTCGTCGTCGTCATCGTCGTCCTCGTCGTTTTCCTCGTCCTCGTCCTCGTCCTCCGTGTTAGTCTCTTTCCGTCTCATCTGCCACTCTTTCCCCTCGTGCGCCTTCCTTCTCCTTTGCTCCGTGTCTTTCTCCTTCCTCCTCTTTCTTTATCACCCCTCCGCCTAATGATGATGCTGCTGCTGATGAGGATGACGGGGATGAGAATGATGATCATGATGATGATTATAATGATGGCGATGATGATGCTGATGATGATGATGGTGCTGATGCTGATGATGGTGATGATGATGAGGATGATGATGATGCTGATGATGATGATGACGGTGGTGGTGGTGGTGATGATGATGCTGATGATGATGCTGATGAGGAGGAGGAGGACGAGGAGGAGGATGAGGAGGATAGAGGAGGACGTCCTCCCAGAAATCCAGGTCACGGGGGTGCTGTTTCTGGCGTCCATGTTCATCACGCCCGTGTTCCAGCACGTGCCGACCTGCGCCAGCGCGGCCCCGCTGGTGCCGTGGGGCGGGCGCCGGATCCTTCGCACAGGCACAGTCGTCGTCGTCGTCGTCGTCGTCGTCGTCGTCGTCGTCGTCCTCGTTCTCGTTCTCGTCCTCGTCCTCGTCCTCGTCCTCGTCCTCGTCGCCGTCGTCGTCGTCGTCGTCGTCGTCGTCGTCGTCGTCGTCGTCGTCGTCGTCGTTGTCATCGTGGCATCGCCGTCATCGTCGGTCTGGAAGTTGGGCGAAGACCATGTGGAAGAATACGGTGATCCTTGATGCTCGCTCCTTGATCTTGGGTCCTCGATCCTCGACATCGCCGCCAGCGTCGTTGGCGTCGGCGGCGTTGTCGTCGTTCGCCATGCAGCAGGCAGGTCCTTCGGGATCCGGGTCCTGAGCTTTTTTCTTCCGTTTTCGGCCCCCAGACTATCAAACAACGGCTCGTGATGAAAAGCTTGTTCCCTGCGAAGGTCCCGGGGGCTAGGCAAGGTTTACCTCAGGACCGGTTTTCTTCATGCCGACGTCGCCGTTGTCGTCGATCTCCGACGGTTTTCGAAAGTCTCCGAAGGCCTTCGGATGTCTCGCAGGTTGTTGGACATGCTCGAGATTTTCGGAGGCTCCTGGAGGCCGGAGGCTTCCGGAGATTCTTGGCTGTCGTCGTCAACCAGTAAGCCTCGATTGGATGGCCGAGCTTCGACCGCCCAGGACCTTCGATCTCCCAACCGCGAACGGCGATGAGCAGGCACTGACCCTGCGAGGCGGAGGCAGTCACGGTGTCTGCTGGTGCCCGTTGTCCACCCGCGCCGTCCTCTGGCCTTGGCCACGCCTGTGGGACCCTCGAGGCGTGTGGACGTTTAGGCTATGCGCTTTGTTCCGGGCCTCTGGAGGCTTCTGGGGACCTCCAGGGACTTCGGAGGGCTCCAGACGGCTCGAGGTTCGAGGCTCGAGGCTTGAGGCTCAAGGATCGAGAGTGGAGGTTTCTGGCCAATTCGGGCTTGTCTGGGCCTCCCGAGGCGGCCTCGTGGCTACGGCTCGATTCGCTCCGAAGTCCAGTTTGATTTTTGAAGGAGGGCCCAGACACCGAGCATCACGAGAAAGTCAGGACGGAGTGCTTTCGCTACTTTTGGCCTCTGGCGGCCATTTTCGGCTTCCGGGGCCGCCAGAAAGGACGCAGGGTAAGAAGCCAGTCCCTTGGGAAAGGGTCGACAGCTTTGGGGTCGACGTATTGACAAAAGGCAAGGCGTTGGAGATCTGGGCATGCCTGCGAGGAGCCCTTCTCCTCCTCCTCCTCCTCCTCCTCCTCCTCCGCTCTCACCAAAGCCCTCGCGGAGGTCCGCCCCAGTTGGCGCTGGGCGGTCTTCAAAACGCTCAGCGGCGGGTGGACCACCATCCACCGCATGCCCGTGCTCGCCGCGAAACCATGCGTGTTCGGGTGCCCGAGTGCACCAGACTCGTTTCCCCACTACTTCTCTTGCTCCGTCCTTTCGAGCCTCCTCTTATCCCCCGACGCTCCCCCGCTCCTCAGAACACTTACGTCCTGGGGCCTGGGCCCCGCAGCTGCGTGTCCTTCCGAGCCTGAGTGCGACCTCTCGTTGCGCCAGACGATTCGCAGGGTTGCGTTTGCTTTGCATCTGTGCAACCACATGAAGCAGTTTGCAGCGCCGTCGCCAGCACACATTGCTGAAGCGTCGGGCGCAGCCAAAGCACTGTTGGGGCGATGAGTTAGGTGCATTGCATGGGCGCGCGGAGATACATCATTTGCCCTCTTCTCGCGTCGTGCCCGCTTGCCCTCTTCTCGTCCCTTTCAGGATACTTTAGCTCCTCGTTTTTCTTCCGTAGCCATTGTGGCTCAAGTCACATGTTGTTAGGCCATGGCCCCGCACGCGCCCCATCCGCTTCAATATGCAATGCTGCGCGCCGCTGCCGACTTGGGTTGCGTCTGCAGGTATCCATAAGCTGCGCTACTATCTTCTACATGGCGCGCTGCCGTTCTCCTGGCAAACTTGGTCTGCGCCGTGTTCGTGCCCGTGCTCGCGGCTATGTGAGGGATCGTGTGAGGGATCGACCCTCGGGGATGTCCCACCTGCTCGTCCCGTCCTGCTTGCACCCGAACCTCAGGCGCATGGCGAACGGCCTCAGGGCGCACGTGCAGTTGCATTCGGTCACAGGGGCTCATGCTCATATTCTTCGGGGGGCGATTGCCCATGCTGGTGCGTTGTTCGACGGCGACTTCATCAAGCAGCTGCGCACCATGAGCTCGCAAGCAGGCCGCGCTAAACACCGCGTTCCTCTTCTTCGTGCTGCCTCGCCCTCTGCTAAGGGCGCGCGGGCTGGCGCTAAGGCACCGCTGTGCCTTGCTTCGCTGGTGCCGCCACCGCTGGATAGCACTACCCATGCAGTTTTGTGTATGCTCACTGTCTTCTCGCACAACATTCGGTCGCTGCTCGCCTCGTTCAACCAGTTGCACGCCGCCTGCAACCAGCCCGCGTTCTACCCGATGGCGGCATGTGACGGGTCTGACATTCCGCAGATGGCGAACCTCCTTCTTGAACTTTAACGACAACGTATTTCGTATGCCTCTTCTTTTTCCCCTTCTCCTCCGTGTGGTTGTTCATCGGGTTCTACTTGGCCGTCCCGTGTGCCCGAGAGTGATGGGAGCGACGACGAGTGCGTTTAGACCGCCTTTGTGCTGGGCGGCATGATCGTGCAGGACATTGACTTCGAGGTCGAGTTCTCGTTGTTCGAAGAGTGCGCTGCCCGTGGTGCTCCGCGGCGCGTGCAAGCCCACCCTGTTGCGACCTCTGTCCCAGGTGGCGACTCTCTTCCTCTGCGTGGTCAGGGTCAAGCTTCAGCGCCGAGCCTGCAGCTCCTGTCGCTGCGTCGGGCCTCGCCGCTGGATATGGTCGACGCGACTCTGCTCGAGAACCCGATGACGAACCTGGCGACCCTCGTGCAGATGCTGCGCCACGCTCTGGAGTTCTGCATTCGCATCCTTCGCATCCTGGTGCCCCTCCTGGTGGCGCACAGCCTGCTCTTGCAGGTTCGGGCGGGGCTCGTCGCGGTCCGAGGGCGTGGTTCTCGTGCAGACCCCCCCGGGGCGTGATGGCGCTCCCCCAAGTCCTCGCGCTGCTGGTGGGTCTCCTCGCGCCGTGGGCGGCGGTGGTGGCCCTCAGCGCGACAATCTTGCAGCTCGAGGTGGCGACCTACCTGCTGCAGACGGTGGTCCGCATCGTGTCCCTGCTGTGGATCGGGACCGCGCGGCTGATCGTGGTGCTGCTGGGCGCAGGCTCCGTGCTCGCGCCGCGCGCGACTTCTACTGCCTGAAACTTCTCCAGGCGGGCCCGAGGATCTCTACTCGTTCGGCTTGCCGCTGCCACCCGCACGGCTAATTCGGCGATGATTGCATCAACTCTCACCTCCTGGCAGAATTGACGGACGATGCCATTGCTGCTGAACGCGCCCGCCTTCGCCACCTTCATCCCGCGTGCGCCGACGCTCAGCCTGTGACGGCGACGCTCTGGCTCAGTCGGGCTGCCGGTCGCTCTGCTCCTGAATTTTATGCGCTCGTCGGGCTATCTTCCGATTCAGTAATTACCTGCGCTGGGCCGTCGCGCTGGACTTCGGGGCCCTCCTGGGCTTCGGGCGCCAATTGTGCGCGTGCCTCCTGCGGGGCAGCTGGACCTCCCTGGCGGACTTGGCTGGTTCTGGTGCTGCTGCTGATGGTGCTCATCGAAAGCTCACTCTCGATCCCGATGCTGCTGGCGATGGAGCCGCTCCCGTCTGTGAAGCCTGCCTTCCTGACCCTGCTGGGCTGCGGGGCCCTGCTGCGCAAGGGCCTCCTGCTCGACTGCGGGTCTCTCCTGGACATCGCGCACCTTCTGTGCGCGAGCCTCCTGCTGGTCAGCGGGGTACCCCTTGGGACTTGATGGCGATGACGCTGCCGCTGCAGGTTCTCGACGAAGGCTCGGTCTCGATGCTGCTGGCGGTGGTGCTGTTCCCGTTCGTCAAGATTGTGGTCCTCGGCCCGCTGGTGACCAACGACGGCTGGCTTGCGAGGGCGATGCTGCTTACCATATTGCTGCTCCCGTTCGTGGTGCCCGCGATGACCTTCAGCCCGCTGGCTGTCGCCGATCTCGGCGTCGTGCTGGCGATGCTGCGCTTGGAGCTGCGCGTCTCGGTGGTCCAGCTTCCTTTCTTCGTCTTCGTGATCCTCGTCTCCTCCGCGGTTGCAGTGCGTCTCGCGCGAGGCTTGCCGACCTTCTTCTTCGCGGCGGCGCAGCTGGTCATGGCGCTCCTGCGCGTTTCGAGGGCGGGCTCGGCGAGGATGGCGACCCGCGCTAGCTCGCGTGAGCGCTTGAGGAGATTCGCAGGGCCTGGCCTGAGCGCGTTCCTTCTGGGCGCTGTGATGAATCATCGCTCTCGGCGCGGCCGCCGTCCGCGCCCGCTTCTCCGAGTCTCCACCGTTGCGACAAGTTTGACCGTGACTGCCTCGACTATGATCACATTCCTGCAGACCTCCTGGCCCGCGATGGCACGGCGCGCATGCAGACGACCAATGGCATCGATGACTTCTCGGACTCCGCCGGCCCCGCGCTGAGTGGCCCCGCTGCCCGCGCGGCGGGCGCGCGAGAGCCCTGAGGAGCAGGATGCTTCGCGCCAGGGACGCTCGCTCCTCCTCGTTTTTCTTGTCCTCTATTCTTTTCCCGATGAAGACCTGCCTGTCACGCCCCGAAGCCAGTCGGGAGGGCTGGCTGGACATTGCCCTTGGACCTTCCTCGCCATTGATAATCTGGAAGCTCAAAGGTTACAGCAGTTTCACAGACGGAGGGCGCGTGGTTTTGAAAAGGTTGCTCTCGCCTCAGGGGCGCGCGCATCCGTTTGAAAGCGTCGCAGGACTTTCGCGGAATGAGGACAGGTGGTTTTCACACTGGCTCTCGCCTCAGGGCGGAGTACATAATTTTTCAAACATTTAACGAGTTTCGCGGATGGCGGGCGGGTCGTTTTCAACATGCGGCTGCTCTTGCGTTAGTGCCGCGCACATTCGTCAGTAAGATATGCAATATTTTCACGGATGGAGGGTGGGTCGATTTGAAAATTTGACTCGCGTGAGCGCCGCGCGCAGTCGTCATAGCAGATGCCAGAGATTCACGGATGGAGGGCGGCTCCTTTTCCATGTGTGGCTCTCGCTCGAGCGCCGCACACATTCATTTTGATATTTTACAGCAGTTTCAGGGGTTCTCGTGGGTTTCTCATGGTTGTTGTCCCAACCATGGTGTTTTGACATGATGTCGGATTGTCATAACGCAACACTTAGATTGGTTCGTGGTGTTGAAATTCCAAAACTGGTGTTCTGGCACGATTCAGGATCGTCGAATCGCAACAGCACTGGTGATTCTCGGCGTTGAAGTCCCATGAATAGTGTTCTGGCACAATTCAGGATGATTTTTAAGCGGGTGCTCTCCAACGGGGCACTCTTCTCCATTGAAAACGAGTCTTTGTTGGGGCTTTCGAGAAGGGAGCTTGAAGGTAAGGTTTTCCTGCGATATCGTTGCTTAGTCTTGGGTGTATTTTCCTTCTCCCACCGAATGACGAGTGTGCTGTTTCGAGCTTGATGTTGCGCATGTTTGCTGAGCTACGTAGTGCAACAGTCCTTGGCTCGCATGTTGCTTGTAGTATAGGATTCATGGGGCTTGGAGGTGGGAGTTCTTCCACGGTGTCGACACTTGGTCGGCCCGGTCAATTTTTGCCAGTCCTTGTGGCCAGTTCACAGTTTTTCTTCTTCTCTTCAAGTTTTGTCCTTATTCCTCCATGCCGCACCCCGATGCCAGTTGGAAGGGTGGCCCCGTCGTTTCGCGTGATATTTCTTCATCACTTATGGGCCTCAAGCTTAAGCTGGTAACAGTTTCGCAGATGGAGGGCGGGTGATTTTCAGAATGTGGCTCTCGGTTCAGTGCCGCGCAGATTCGTCTTAAACATGTACAAGAGTTTCACGGTTTTCAGAATGTGGCTCTTGTCTTAGCGCCGCGCAAACTTTAATATGAAATGCAAAAGTTTCGTGGATTGAGGGCGGGCCGTCTTCAAAATGCAGCTCTCGCCTGAGCGCCGCGCACACTCGTTCTAAACATTAGCAAGAGTGTCACATATTGAGGGCGGTTCCTTTTCAAAATGTGGCTCTCGTTTCAGCGCCGCGCGCATTCATTCTACACATTTGCAAGAGCTTCACGGAGTGAGGGCGGTTCTTTTTCGAAATGTGATTCTCGGTTTGGCGCCGCGCACGTCCATTGTAAACAGTTGCAATCGTTTCGCCGGTTCTCATGGTTAACGTTCCAGAATTGGTATTTTGGAACGATTCATGGTTGCGCGGGCGCAACCGTTACGTTGATTTCCGGTGTTAACATCAGAGGAATAGCGTTATGGCGCGATTCAGGATCGTCAAGACGCAACAGTCAGGTTCATTCGTGGTGTTGAAATCCTGAAAATGTTGTTCTGGCGCGCTTCACGATGTTCACACGGTTGTCCCCCAACGGGGCATTTCACCCAGTGGAAATGATTCGTTGTAGGGGCCTATGAAGAGGGAGCTTGAGGGAGAGTGTATGCCAACATTGTCGTTGAGTTTTGGGTCTGCTCTGGTCCTCCTCCTCCTCCTCCTTCTTCTCCTCCTCCAGCCCGGAGGCGCATACTCCGATCCTGGGCCCTGGGATGGGGCGGTGCAGGGTCGGTGTTGGTGTGCAAAGCTGTTGTGATCCGAGGTGTTCGTTGGCTGCCTGATGATGCACGACGTAGGCGAGATCGACTGGAACGACCTGAATCACGCGCTGCCTGCGTTCCTGTGCATCCTGATGATGCCCTTCACAGGATGGGGGCGGGGGAGCACGCTCGCCAACCCTCCTCATCCTCCCCGTCTCCTCCTCCCAGATCCAGCCTTTGCGAAGAGGGCACCCCCGCCTGGAGGCCCAAAAAGGCGAAGCAAACATCAACATTCCACATCCTCCTCTTCCATCCTCCTCCGCCTCCTCCTCCTCCTCCTCCTCCTCCTCCTCCTCAGGTAGCGTCACTTGGGGCATCATGTTCGGCCTCGCCACATACGGGCTCATGGCGCTGTCGAGCCCCAGGGAGCTCCTCATCCGATGGCGCCGCTCCGAGTTTGCCGGCAGCTCAGAAGATCCTAATCTCTGGGAGGATGAGGGGACAGCCAAGACGCTGAAATAAAGACCGTTCTGGGCTCAACTCTGGTCTTCGGGCCGTTCCTTCGGTGGAGATCGGGGCGCCCATTCGTGGCCGAGGCTCGCCGTGGTATTCAGCTTTCCTGATGGTAGCACGATGACAGTACGGTAGGTTCGCATCGTGTCGACCGGCGGCGATCCCGCGGCCAGCGTTCAACCTTGAACGCCGCCAGCGACCCAGAATCGGTCGATGTTGAACGATCTGACGTTTCGGAACCGACCGATCGCTCAAGGTTGAACGGTCCCCGCGGTGTAAGAAGCCAACGCCGAAGTCGGCCTGACACAAACCCGCGGTATCAAGGGTGTTTTGGGCTGACTTGAGAGGGTTTCTGGGGTCTCCACGCCCGCGTGCGTCGTTGTGGAGTCGTCGTCGTCGAGTTCGGGGGCCCAGATGCTTTGGGCAGGCTCTCGGGCAGGAGGGTTGACATCTTGTTTCTTTTTGTTGTTGATGCTGCTGCTGCTGCTGTTATTGTTATTGTTGGTGTTGCTGCTGCTGCTGTTGTTGTCGTCGTCGTCGTCGTTGTTGCTGCTGTTGCTGCTGTTGTTGTTGTTGTTGTTGTGGTTGTTGTTGTTGTTGTTGTTGTTGTTGTTGTTGTTGTTGTTGTTGTTGTTGTTGTTATTGTTGTTGAATGTTGTTGAATGTTGTTGAATGTTAGTTACTAAACAATGATTATTATTGTTGGACCCCCCAAAGCGCTTTGGCGCTCTCGCCTCGGTGCCGGCTACATTTTCATTGAAATGAGGCTCACGCTCGAGCGGTTTGGGAGGGCGCCAAACCGGCCCCCCAACAACAATAACGTTCCCGCTCGAGACTTCTCCTTTTTCCCAACCATCCTGTGGTGTTGGGTCCTCGTTTTGAAGAGACGGTGCCCCGCGTTCCCCTCCTTCCTCTCCTCCTCCCCCTCCTCCCTCCTCCCCCTCCTTGCCTCTGCTCTCGGCACACCTCTCACGCGTTTCGTAGCCCCATAGGGAACTCCACCGAAGGCCCCAGTGGGGGTGTCCACATGCGGTTCCCCCACCCAGGGCAGCGTTTCGTAGCCCCAGAGGGAGCTCCACCGAAGGCCCCAGTGGGGGTGTCCCATGCGGTTCCCCCACCCAGGGCAGCGTTTCGTAGCCCCATAGGGAGCTCCACCGAAGGCCCCAGTGGGGGTGTCCGCATGCGGTTCCCCCACCCAGGGCAGCGTTTCGTGGCCCCATAGGGAGCTCCACCGAAGGCCCCAGTGGGGGTGTCCGCATGCGGTTCCCCCACCCAGGGCAGCGTTTCGTAGCCCCAAGGGAGCTCCACCGAAGGCCCCAGTGGGGGTGCCCCATGCGGTTCCCCCACCCAGGGCAGCGTTTCGTCCATAGGGAGCTCCACCGAAGGCCCCAGTGGGGGTGTTCGCATGCGGTTCCCCCACCCAGGGCAGCGTTTCGTAGCCCCATAGGGAGCTCCACCGAAGGCCCCAGTGGGGGTGTTCACATGCGGTTCCCCCACCCAGGGCAGCGTTTCGTGGCCCCATAGGGAGCTCCACCGAAGGCCCCAGTGGGGGTGTTCGCATGCGGTTCCCCCACCCAGGGCAGCGTTTCGTGGCCCCATAGGGAGCTCCACCGAAGGCCCCAGTGGGGGTGTCCACATGCGGTTCCCCCACCCAGGGCAGCGTTTCGTAGCCCCATAGGGAGCTCCACCGAAGGCCCCAGTGGGGGTGTCCACATGCGGTTCCCCCACCCAGGGCAGCGTTTCGTAGCCCCATAGGGAGCTCCACCGAAGGCCCCAGTGGGGGTGTCCACATGCGGTTCCCCCACCCAGGGCAGCGTTTCGTAGCCCCAGAGGGAGCTCCACCGAAGGCCCCAGTGGGGGTGTCCACATGCGGTTCCCCCACCCAGGGCAGCGTTTCGTGGCCCCATAGGGAGCTCCACCGAAGGCCCCAGTGGGGGTGTCCACATGCGGTTCCCCCACCCAGGGCAGCGTTTCGTGGCCCCATAGGGAGCTCCACCGAAGGCCCCAGTGGGGGTGTTCGCATGCGGTTCCCACACCCAGGGCAGCGTTTCGTGGCCCCATAGGGAGCTCCACCGAAGGCCCCAGTGGGGGTGTTCGCATCAGGGCAGCGGTTCCACCGAAGGCCCAGTGGGGTGTCCACATGCGGTTCCCCCACCCAGGCAGCGTTTCGTAGCCCCAGAGGGAGCTCCACCGAAGGCCCAGCGTGGCCCCAGCTGGGGGTGTCCACATGCGGTTCCCCCACCCCAGCCGCAGCGTTTCGTGGCCCCATAGGGAGCTCCACCGAAGGCCCCAGTGGGGGTGTTCACATGCGGTTCCCCCACCCAGGGCAGCGTTTCGTAGCCCCATAGGGAGCTCCACCGAAGGCCCCAGTGGGGGTGTCCACATGCGGTTCCCCCA